TATATATATATGTATATATATATATTTTGTAAAGAAAATGGGCTTAATACAAAATTATACTTTTACAGGTAGCTTTGGCCCTAGCAACAATTTTTGTTGTCAACATGCACCAACCATGTGTGATACATATCAGTTCTAGCAAATACTGAACATCTAGACTTCAAGAGGCATGGGCCTGGCAGAGTAAGAAGACATCACAAATATAATATGAAATGTGACAATATACAAATAAATTCTGCTTTACAGATAAGAAATAGACATGGCTTTACATAAATATCATGGTGCACATACTTCATTATGATACAACATTTACTACTAATATTGAGCAGAACATCACGTGACCCATTTTTTTTCTTGCTTTGGTCCAGTTGGTACGCTACAGTGCAGAGGGGCTGCTCCAGTTAGGTCCCCTGGGCTCCACTGCCTTCTTACCAGATACAAAGTGTTTGATTGACGATGGCAAAGGAAGAACTCCCACGCTGAAGAAATGTGATGACATACCAAGGCCAACCCAAAAACTGTGGGATTTCACACAGGTAGGAGGCTTTTAACCATAAAGACACTAACAGGTGTCATGGGGGCTTCAAAATCAGGAAAGTTGTTGACCAAAAAGTAAATAGTTTTATTTGTATCACATATAGTTGCATAGTTACATAGTATTTGAGGTTGAACCTTTGTGTGTCTGTTTGTGATTGTGCGTGTGAGTCCCTGTGTGGTCTAGTTTTTAAGAGTACCTGTGCCCCTGTATGTTATGGTCTCTGAGGAAGGAATCTAAATGATTTTTGAATGATTTAATACACTCTGCTGATACCACTGCTTGTGGAAGAGAGTTCCAAAATGTATCATGTCCCCTCTTAATCGCCTCACTTCCAGTGTGAACAAATGTAAATTTAGCAACCTTGTTTTATAGCTTTGGTCCTCCAGCCCCTTAATTAGTTTTGTTGCCCTTCTCTGGACTCTCCCCAGCTCAAGGACATCCTTTCTGTGGATTGGTGTCCAAAATTGAACTACATACTCAAGATGAGGCCGAACCAGTGATCTATAAAATGGCAAAATTATTCATTTTCCTCTACAGTACATTCCCTTTTTAACCTCTTGCCGTCCGCCCGTAGTAAAAAAACGGACGGACGGCACTGCAGCATCTGCGGGTTGCCGAGAAATGCATTACATTATGGGGTCTATTCACTAAGCATCTTACGGCTGGTTCCGGCCACTTGCAGAGAGATCAGCGTCCCTGGTTACCAGGTAACCAGGGATGCTGTCATTACACACTGAGAACACGGCCGGGCCGCTATGATATAACAGTGGCCTCTTCGTGTTCTCAGTGTGTAATGACAGATGGCGTTCCTGGTTACCTGGTAACCAGGGACGTCATCTGGCATTACTCTCCCGGATGCTCTTCTGACAACTGCCGTCAGAATAAAAAAAAAATCACCATAGGAATGCATAGCTAGATTCCTATAGGCTATTTCAATTTGCAATAGCAAACTAGCTATTGCACCCGCCCACTGCTGCTGTCAATCAGCAGAGGGGGACCTCAGGTCCCCCTCTGGTGATTGACATATTTATTTTATTTTTTACTACTTTTTTAACTGTTTTTCTATTCTGCTCGGTACCACAAAGATACAGAGCAGAACAGCTGTTCGGCATTTATGAGAATAGGCCGAACAGCAGCGAGTAGCCTGTCGGAGGTTCGGCTTAGTCGAACTCCTTATGCACTTCGGGTCGGCCGAACATGCTGAGCAATATTGGCTGATTTCAGCCGATATACGGCTGATTTCAGCCGATAGACAGCTGGAATCAGCCATACCAGCCTCAAGTGAATAGCCGAACAGCATTCGGCTCACTTCGCTTCGGGTTGGTTAGTCATTCGGCTGCCTACGGCATCTTAGTGAATAGACCCCTATATTTTTCAACAATAAACCTCATGTGCCATGTAGTTGCCCACTCCCCTATTTTACACTGGTCCTCCTGTGATGTTATAATGTCTAAGATCGTGTCTATTACCCTCCTAATTTTAGTATCATCTGCAAACACAATATAATTAATAAACAGGTTAAACAGTATTGGACCTAGCACAGAACCCTGGGGCACACCACTCTTGACCTTAGACCAACTTAAAAAAGAGCCATTTATCAATACTCTCTGAACACGTTCCTATAGCCAGTTCCCTATCCATGTACACACTATTTCATCTATGCCATTAGATTTCAGCTTGTGTATTAAGCATTTATTTGGTACCGTGTCAAAAGCTTTGGCAAAACCCAGGAACACCACATCCACCCGCCTACATCCATCCAGATCTCTACTCACCTCTTCGTACAATGTTGTCACTGGAATAGTGGTCCCTCTTGGAAGATTTCCCTTTTGTTCCCATTCAAACGACGACTCAGAATATACATTTCCCCTCACTTTCGGTCCCAGTTACAGTGGTACCTAGGACAAATAGACAGAAATAAAAACCTGACAGATAATAATCTTATCCTAAGGTATCCAAATAAAAAATAAATTTGGCTTTACATATACTCTACATACTAATACTTTGGAGTTACTGGACCAGAACAAGTGTGCAGATAAGGAATTTATCTGCATACTTCTTCCAAATGAATGACAGAATACATGGAAACAAGAGAGTCAGCACACTGTATAAGTCTAGCAATTAGCACTTTCACAAAGATAAATTTGTTTCACAATATGTTTTGCCTTATTATATTCAAATAGTTTTTCATAATTTATATTTACCTTTTCAATAATGTAGGGGATCACTTTGTCCTTTCAAGCAAAAGCAAGAAAACAGGGATATACTGATGAATGTCAGAAAGAGTCAGCAGAGGACCCCTATGATGATAACATTTCAGCAATCCCATATTCCTTCTAAGCTCAAATCTCTACCACTGTGTTATTGACCATGTGTGAAAAACCCTAGCGATCAATATAATATCTGCATTTGCTAGTCTAATGTAGTCAGACTAATGAACCAGATATCTGATTAGGAGCTCTGGGATACAACACATCATCACTCTTTGCACGTATTCATAAACAGGCCATATGTGTTTACACTAGGGGTTATGTAGCAGCTATGTACAAATGTGCATTGACCATGAGACAGCCAGCATTTAGATCTGTAGGATCCACTGTATATTATAAAAAAATAAAATCAAATGTCTTGTTGCCCACTGTAATTACAGCAGTTATTTTTCTAGTTCCAGTCTCTTAACACAGATATGCAAGGCAAGATATTACTTGTAAGTTAATGTTCCTGCTTTTTGCATGATTGTGCTTTTTGGGTTGTACTTATTGGGAGCAAGCACGGGTACCACTTTGCATCTAAGACAGTGGCAACTGGTACATTTTCTGGTGGCACCTTCCTTACACAAAGCAAAATAATGGGTTGTGTTGATATTTTATGCATGGCTGCAATGGTAAAATAAAAAATGTTTTGTAAATCTGTCTTTTCCGAATAACTGTTCATTTACAACACACCCCAAAGTAGTGCACATAGTGCTTAAATATACAGGGGTTTATTCACTAAGCTGTCATAGACAGCCGAGTGAAAGACCGACCTCAAGTGAGCCGAACGCTATTCGGCTATTCACTTCAGGCTGGTACGGCTGTTTGCAGCCGTATATCAGCTGAAATCAGCCGTACATTGGGTGGCTTCGCGTGGCTTCGGGTCGGCCGAACATGCTCAGTATGTTCGGCCGACCCGAAGTGCAGAAGGAGTTCGACTCAGCCGATCCAACATCTGGATCGGCTGAGCTGAACCTCCGGCAGGCTACTCGCTGCTGTTTGCTCTAATCTCATAGATGCCGAACAGCAGTGAGTGAATAGCCGAATGCCGCTGAGCGTCATTCGGCCTCGGCTGTTCTGCTCGGTCCCTCTGAGGGACTGAGCAGAACAGAAAAATTGTTTAAAAAGTACAAAAAAATAAATAGAAAATGATTGTGCGGAGCTAGCAGTGACAATGGTTTCCTATTGTCCGGCGGCTCTGCTGCCGTCAAAAAAAAAAGAAAAAAATAAGTCTCCCGGCCGCCAAGGAGAGATACACTGCTTTTTCTTTTTTTCTTTATTCTGACACGGAGCAGTGTCAGAATAGAAAAAAGAAACTGCAGATGAAACAGCAGTGTAAAATAGGCCAGCAATAGGATACTTATGAAGCAAAGCTAGGTCCATATTTACTAAATGTATTAGGATACTGCAGAGGATAAAGTAGTGTTAAAATGGTCAGCAGCAGAACAGTCTTAGTGAAGACTTATTGGCCTAACCAGTGTATGATTTATTTTAATATGGGCATACGAGGGCATATTTAATATGGGCATACGAGGGTGTGGAAATATCAATTATATCATTTGAGGTGGCTTAGATGCACACTATTCCTGCACTTGCCCAGTTTGTTTGGATTTTTTTCCCATTTTAAATGAAGCAGTGGCGTATTGTTAGCAAAAGTCAGCTACAAGGACATAGGTCAGTAGAAAGTGAATGTTATGCACTGGGCAACCTAAACCCAAAAAAGGCCCCATCAACATAACATAAAAATCAGAAGTTTCCAAAATACCACCCCTGAATCAAAAGCACGTGCTGCAAGGGAAGCATTGCAGCAAAAAACAAACATTTGCTATTGATGCAGCTGAAAGTGACAACTAACCTTAAATCGACCAGACAAAACAGTCTCCAATAACACGAACAACAACAAAAAAAACTAATTTTCCTCATTAAATTACCCTAATCTCTCCCAGAGCAGTTTGTCAGCTTTACCTATGCAGTTTGTCAGCTTTACCTGGCCTTTGCCTACAGCAGCTTCCAAAATAGTATGGCTGCTCTGTGTCCATCTTTTATAGTGAGGGAGCCGTAGCCTCCTTACTGACCCTTTTTGCATTATAGTTTAATTATGGTTAATACAATATTTGTTTTAACTTTCTTGCAGAATAGTCCCATTGTCAGCAGAGACACAGGTCGCTGCCTGGAGGTGGAGATGTCAAAGGATGCTAACTTTGGACTAAGGCTGGTGGTGCAGAGGTGTTCAGGACAGAAATGGATTATAAGAAACTGGATAAAACATGGACGGAATTGATACTTTTGGAAAGAAGGGGTGCGCGACCCAGACCTGGAATACGCATACAGAAATGCCTTCTTGGTTACACAAGGAAAGCGGACATTTCTTACCATCTGCTCATGGACCACTGAACATCACATGATAATAGTCCTTCCACTGAGTGGATTGACTGTCATGGATCTTGTGTGGAAACGCCAAATAGTTGAGTCAGACAGAGCCCTTCGAAAAATGCAGATTTATATGACAAAGAAGAGTTTAAGCTTGTACTTTGGGAGGATAGCATGGAAAGGATTTTTTCTGCTGGTAGATTTTGTGTTACAGACTGGTGCACAACTGCTACAATGGATTATCATGTGCCTTTTAAATTGTACTTCCTACACAAGAGAACAGGACATCCCTCACATCAGCATGTGTGATTATTTGTGTTAAATTATATGTAAATAAGATGCAAATGTAAGGCAGCAATAATCACCAATGGGCAAGGAATCTCCTGGTAATAGAAGGAGGCCAGCAAAAGGTCTGAAGTGTCACTAGTGCAGATACTGTTCATAACAATAAGATAACAAAGCTTTTCTTTGATTCCTAAATAATACATTGTATGTATACCTGCAGACCC